TTATTATTTATATATTATAAAAAAAATCACTAAAAATTATGCTTAAAAAATTCTAAGTCTTAATATTTTGAATAGAGGTAGTAATTAATATTTTATCTAGAAACCTTAAATGACTTGATCTAGCGTCAAAATTAGCAGTATACGACTAGTCTGAAAAGCTGACATTTCTTTATCTGTTTCAGAAATTTAGATTGCATACGAGAAGACCAACTCCATCCGTTCATAGTAATGTCAACGCACAACCCCAATTTGTGGTGGTGGGAGGCATCTGGATGCACCCACCAGAATATGCCACAATGACGACAACAACCTCAGGGGAAACAGCCAGTGTGACACCAACATGTGGAATTTATACACCAGTGGCTGCACCAATACCTACAGTTCCCCAACCATCTGGAAAAATGTTGAAAAGGCCAAAACCAATACAGTTTGAAGAAAGGGGCAGCCACAGTGAAAGGGGTGTCCATTCGAATTCACCAGTCTCATCTTCCTCAACTCATACCACCACTACTTCTCCCATGTCAAAGTTCTAATGGTATGCCATTGATTAAATGGGGTACAATTTTTGTAATGAAGATATAGACATGATCACCCTTTTGAGTTTTTTCTTTTTTCCCCTGTTGTTCTCCTGTAGTTCATACCTCTATATAGTTCTAGTTGTAAAAACCGAATAGTAAATAAATCACATTGTTCATGATTTTAAAATATTTTTGTATATCAAATATTAACTTATATGATATAAAATAACCTTTTCATTCTCCAATTCTTCTCTACCTACTTCATGATTCGAATTTGATATATATATCAAATATAAAATTCAAGCTCTTTTCACGCTCTTTCCACTACGACATCCCTCGGGAGACTTGAAATCGTATGATGATCACAAATCTGTTGGCTTAAAACCATCTTCATGGCACATGGTTTTAACACCATTAGATTCCCTTAAAAGCAAATTGCAAGTCCATTCGCTTTCAGTGTTCATCACAATCCTGATTTTAGTGCTGGCCTAATCTTTGGGCCGTGTTTGGTATACATGGTGGTTATCTGAGATTGGAATCTTGACTTGGGAAAAGATGATGGTAAGGATCTGGGGTATCTTATCAGGCACTGTTTGGTAATTATGATATTTATCTTAATTTGGGGTATCTTGCTCGTTACTTCTTTAGGGATTTCATTTCAAAAAGTAATTAATTGACTGAAAAGGATGGAAGAACGGTGGTCTCTTCTGGGAAAATTGATAAGGAAGAAGTCGCAAAAAGATAGATGGGAAAGGCAAATAGCATTGACTATTGTGAAACCTTGTTGTCCAAGAAATCAACTAAGCGATCACAAGAGATAAATGGGAGCTGAAATCTTCTTCTGTTAGGCAAAATTAGATCCGTCCATATCAATTGCGTGGAGGCTAATCTTCTCTCTATTAAGACTTTGTTTTTTTAGAAAAATCAAGAGGTAGATATGTCGGTAGGTAAATATTATTTTGTAAATCGAATGATTAAGGTTTAAGTTTTAGGTTAATAACTAAAAAAAGTTAATTTATTTAAATACATAAAATTAATGGGAGGGTGCACTGTTAATACCAATTTGAAAAAAAATTAATCTAAAAAAATATATTTAAATTGGTTCAAAAACATCTTGATTATAAATAAATTAAAGAAAAAGACTTTATTTTCGATGAATTAGAGATTTATTAATGGCCCAGTACAACAGGTACCCCAGTCAATACACTATTCAGATAGCAACCCTTACAACTCCATTAAGACATTGAAATTGTGCAAAATGAATTGTTTTCTTATTTGCAGAGATCTAAACTAGAATTCAAAAAATAATTATTATATTACAAATCATTTTTGAAAGTTAGATTCATTTTGTAGAGTTAGATGGTAAATAATTGGAGAAGTTATAAAAGCTGGCTAGCTACTTGTCGTAGATTAACTAATATTCCATAAATCTTGTCAAACCAAGCATCGAGTTCTTTTGTTCATGATTTATATCAAACACAATTAATGCCTAAAAAAACTCGGTTTATGGCTACACCACCTCCACTAGTTAAGCGACATATTTTTATATATAATACAATTTTGAGGTTAACAACAGCGAATTCTTTGGAAGCATATTCCATATGTATGTGTGTAGCTGCCCCAGTCATGCGTGAACCGGCTCGATCGCCATGATATAACTACCATGCTTGGATAGTGGCAACCTAGACATTAATATAAATAGAATTTACATGATATATCTTTTGACACTTTTAATTTTTATTTTAAATGAACATGAATCATATTAAGGCACATTTATATATATATTTTTGGTAATTTTTATAACCTTGAAAGAATATGCGCTATAGGCAATGTTTTTTTTGGAGCTATTGTAGTCACTATTGTGACAACAATGATAATATAATCTTAACCATTTGTGTATAATGCACATAAATTACTAATAATTTCTATAAATGTCAAGGAATATGCGTTATGGAATATGTTCTAGACAAGTTTGTAATTGCAACGATGAGGTTTATTATAAGTTTCAAATAACATATGTTCCAAGCTGTATTTATAAAATGTTGTGATTGTAATGATTATTTAATCTTAAAATTTATTTAAAGAATATACTTTTGAATAATTGTAACAATTATCTAATCTTAATTGTTTACAACATATATATTAGTAATATTTTATAAGTTTTTTACAGAATATTTTGTAGAATATATTTTAGAATAATTGTGATTGAATTGACTATTTAAATTTAACCGTTCATATAATACTTGTGAATATCACCATTACAGCAACTTCCACATCTTTTTCACTAGGTTTTATGATTTTCACTAGGTTTTATGAACATGAAATGTGCTATACATGGGAAGAGTTGTGGGGACGGGATGGCCAATGTTCTTTGTAAGTTATATAGTATGTGTGTGACAATTATACTCACTTTGGTAAGAAAAATCAAAGCCAAGTATTCTGCATAAGTAGTGTTCAAGGGTCCACCTAAGAATATTCGAGTCATGGGGAGGCATCTTTATCTTTTAGTTTTATTTTAATTTTTCTATTCAATAATTGTAAACAATGCATGTATGGAAGTTAACATATTGTCGTCCAAGTATATTCTAGACTTGTTTAATTATCTTTTACAGACATGGAATATAAAAGAAGATATTGTGGTCGGATTCCCATGAATCTTGCCTTGTCAAAGAATCTTAGCTAAGAGAGTAGGTATTTGGTACATGTGATTACAAACCTAACTCTCGGGTCCCATCTAGGAATGCCATATGATGCACTGAAATCGCAATATAATCACAAAGGATTTCGTCTGGTTTGAAGATCCGGCGGTGGAGAGGAAAGGCAGATGAGATCGGAGGGTTGTGGTTTATTGATTGAACCGGTCAAAGGCGATGATGAAATGTATGTTATCATGTGGAGTAGTTGTACAGAAGAAAAAGCCAATTAGAAAAGCCATGAAGAACATAGACATTGACCCATGGATTGTGGACTCGGAGCAAAGATTTTTCTTTATTAATTATATATATAAATATAGGGAATATTATTTATTCGTCTTAAAAAGATTATGAAAAATATTATTTTAAAATTTCATTATTTTAATAAATATTTATTAAAAAAATTAAATTTAAAAAATCAAACGGAAAATCAAAGTACAAATTTGCACCGCCTGACATGTGTCCGGCTGTGCAAATTTTAAAGGCCCCAAAATTAATACAAAATGCAAAATAAAGAAGAAGAGAGCTG